TTGCAGAATGCAGTCTCACCACTTTACGCATCAGGAGATGAAAAATAACTTTTCTAGCTGAAATTGCAAGGAGGATGGTAGAGGGCAGAACACAGTTACCATAGCTGCATCACAGCCACGGTGTGGACCAGCTCCTGCAAAAAAATGCAGTGGGATCTTTAATGCCGGTGACTGGTCCAACACCCGCACAAGCTATTCCTTGGCTGTAGCTGACTGCAGGTTGGTCTGAGGCCCCATCCCACCAAACTCAGTCATATCTCTGCTGGCAAGATGCACTTTGCCGTTGGTGATTGATGACAGTCCATGGCAGGATTATAAAGAGCTGTTGCACCTAAAGGCAAAGAAACGCTACAGGTCCTAGATTGCTGCCAATCACATTTAGGCTTGTGAAGCCCATCTCATCCAAAGGCTTCAACTGGATTAGTTATTTTTAAACCCCACAGAAGGAGTGTTAAAAATGTGCTTTTTCATGCAAGCAGCCTTAAAAAAAATCCGTGCTTTATGTTCTGAGGTGCTTTCTCATAATTTCCCCATTCCCTTGCTGCCTACAGCCCAACGCTGTATGAAAATTACTTTGGAGACAACACAAAGTGCTGTTTCTGCAGCTTGCGTTTTGTAAATCTTAGGATTTTGCTTTTCTCCTTTCCTGCAACTCCAGTAAGCATTTAAGATTTTGATATGTGATCCTTGCTGGGATGGTGATGGCGTGATCCTCCAGGATCATAACATGCCTGTTACATCCTTGTGCAGAGCCACTGGCTGGTACTTATTAACAGATTATTAATAGCTGACAGTGGAGAGCCAAATGGATGTCCTCTGTTTTAAGGTAAAACCTTGAAGGGATAACTCTTGCTATTACATGAACTGACTGAGTTTTTATACATGCAGGACAAACCTTATCAGCTATTACAGCTTTTAGAAAGCCTTGCTGCTGTATTTGTTAATGGGTCTGGCTGACATCCAGCGCTTAGGGCTTTGGCCCTGTGCTGGGGGTTGCTGACAGCTCGCCCGCAGGCGGGTGCTGTGGTCAGCCAAGATCCCCTTCCCACCCCTTATGGGATGCGCTTCGTGGGTGCTGAGTTGCGCCTATAGCCAACCCGGCTGAGCAGAGCATGGTGCCACTGCCACCCCCAAGGGATTCTGTAAACCAGGATCGTCAGGGCAGTGAGAAGAGGAAACCTGTAAGCACCTGCATCCCCCTGCTCCCTTCCTAACCTGAATACAGACTAAATGAAAGCAGATGAGGTGGCTCTAACATGCTGCAGTGAGCGCAATCCTCAGACACTGCTAAGGAAAAAAACCCTCCCAAAAGACACAGAGGCTTTGTCCGAGCCTGGGAAGGGCAGGAGCTTCTGCTCCCGGTGTTTTTCATCCTCTAGTTTGTTCTGTGTCTCCCTTTCTGCCCTCAGACCAAGCTGCCAGCTCCCAGCTGAGCAGCCAACGAGGTCTCCCTCAGCCGGGGGAACGACACACCGGTGACAGGTCTCTGCCCCTGTGCCGGCTCTCCCCGCCGTACAGGGGAAGGGCTGGCTCCGTCCCCGCGTCCTGCCCCAGCCAGGGCACCTCTGCTGCTGGCACAAGGGCCGGGCTGTGGGGGGACGAGCAGACAGATTGATTGCCTCTGCCCCCCGATCACCTCTGCCCCCCTCGGCTGAAGCTGCTGGCCCCGCTTCAGAGGGCTTCTCTTACCCCTTATCACAGCAGCTGAAATTCCATCTAGACAGAAGCCAGCCACAGACTTATTCAAAACATTTATTAGTGTTTAAGGAAAATAAGTGTGAAAGGTACAGAGCTTTGTCTAAAGCCATACGCATTTTCTTTTTTTACAAGCTTATTTGGCTGCAAATTCTACATGAGATAAAACTAGTATGTTTTTCTCCCAGAGATTTGGAATTAAGGACAGTTTGTCTTTTTTTTTTGTCTTTTTTTTTTTTTTTTTTTCTTCCTTTTAGTTCAACAGTTTCAAGTTAGGACAGCATTTTCCAGGGTTTACTACTACCTTTTTCCAGTAGGCATTTTGCTTCTCCCAGTATTTTCATTCCAGAACAAGGATCATTCCAGATGCAAAGCGTAAAGGAAACATTCATACCTTGGCTTTTAAGCTAAATCTCCTTCATGAACAGCAAGTTCATGAGGAATGTTAATTAAAGCATCATACAGTATCTAAATGGACTTTTTTTTTTATAAAGAATTAAGGCTATGTAGATGTCACAATAAAATAATCTCAGGTAAAACGCACCCTATTTGTTAGATATGAAAGAAGGTTTAACAATAAATAAATGATTTATGCTGTCAATAACATTATGGAACTGTATAAAACTATATTTACGCAGCTTTAAACATAAAAAACCCCATACTAGTGGCATGAATATATACAACACAGGTCATAACGTATGTTTAAATTATCATAGCCAGCAGTGTTCTTTTTTAAATGGAGACACTATAATAAATAGAAATGTTAAATATTTACAATAATAGCATATGTGGAATCAGTAGATGAACACATAAAATCTTCACACACAGAGGAAAAAAAAAAGTTATGCCTTATACAAAAATCCCTCCCACCCACAGCTTGCCCTACTTCCCCTCCCCCCCCCCCCCCCAATTTTCCATGACTAACAAGGGGAATATACAATTTTCCCCACAGAACGAATGAATACAAATAAAACTGTATGCATGCTGAGGTGATATGTTGACTGAGACATTCAAGGATGTAGATCTATACGTTTGGTTCCCATTGATGAATCAGACCTCTAACGAGAGGGGGATCTTATTTTAGTTCAATGCAAGAACATTATGTTGGTAGCGAGCTGTTGTTTCTGTTTTGCGTTTGGTTTTGTTTTTTTTTTTTTTTTTTTTTTAAACACTTGGATTGTCTTTTTGGTTTGAGCTTGTTCTTCATGGTGGCCGTCTGCCACCAAGGGGGAGAGGACGCTCACAGGGAACCCATGGAGGCAGACTAGAAACCTCCTCATGGTACCTCACGGAGCAGAGGAGTTGGCCATCGGAGGCAGGCCTGAACCAACCTTGGCAAGCTCCTCTGTGGGGCAGCCTGGGTGCCCCATCTGTGGGAGAGCTGCACTACAACCCAACAGGGCAGCTGGCACTCCCACACCAGGAGCTTCGCTCCTCAGATCAGCATGATCTTCGCCGCTACAGTACCTGGCCTGATCCCACCTCTTCCCAATTAAGTCAAATGAAAATTTTGTCACAGAACTTAGCTGAAATCAGGCAGGATTAAGGTCACGTCATTAAACAAAAACCTGGCGATCACATAGAGACACACCTTTTCAACTTAACGGTCCCCTCTTGCTTCCTACATGGCTTCTATTAAAAGCAATGCCTATAACTTCTGCGGGTGGATATGTGCATTAAACCCTGAATATAGCTATTAGGAGCTGTGTTCACTGAGCAGTAACTAAAATCTGAGTTGGAAATTGTAGCCAAATTCCAACACCCTCTACTGTTTATACAGCTCCTTCCCACCATGCGACAAGACCTACGTTAGTTCACTGGGTACGTTCTGTCTCTACTGAACTGCCTTCCTGCCCCCACAGCTTTCCTCCCAAACTTTCTAAATAAGAAGGCTCATATCCCTCGTGTGATTCCCACTTTCTAAGAAAACTCGCTTTTTCTCTAGAGGAAGCTGAGGAGCTCACCCTTCGGTCCCCACGGATGCTGTAACCTCCATTTCCAGTACAGTATCTGGGGATATAGGATTGCAGATCTGCAACCTGAGAATTACAATTGCATAGGGGGTAGGAGAGATGTATCCAAACACCTCATTTACACTTAAAACTGCTTAGAGACAATAAGCTCTTGACACTCTCAATCTTTAGTAACTCATTCTGCAGAGATTGGTGGTCATTATCTGCATAACAATTAAAAAAAAAAAAACAAGTCAACCCCTTCTCCTTATCTTTGGCATTTGGCTAAACCACAGCTGATAGGCAAGTTAGAGTGGGGCTCCACATCCCAGCAAGCCACACCACACTACTGCTAAGGAGGGACAGATTTCTGATGGGCCTTCAACGCAGCCCTACTGAAGAACCAAGTATCCGGGGTCCTTCGCTGTCTGAGCCTACGCTCATCCCTTTAAGCCTGGGCTGTCCCTAAGGGCAGAGGACCTGTATCACTGAGCGGGCAGGTGTAAGCAGAGAATATGCACAGTGTTTTTAGAGGTCCATGAACATACTCTTGGGGGTCCTCCATACTGTGGAAGTCTTAACAGTCACATTGCCGTGTCTGGAAGCTGACTGCTCGCCTTCAGTATGCTGAAATGACTGGATTAGCAAGCGTCAAGTTACGCAGTGGTTAAAAAACAAACAGGGGCACTTAAACTAGGCAGCATCACCCAGATGGGAACAACGGCTCAGAAGTTGGTTAAGAGAAAGCGGTGGAGCTCCAGACCGCACGGTTCCTGTGTGAGAGACGGGGTAGCTATTTCATTAGAGAGCGTCACATAGAGAGCCCTGAGCTCTTGCATTCTCAGCCACAGGCAGAAACCAAATCCCCCTGGAATTCAGCCATCTGCTCTAAGGCTGCGCCCTAAACCTTCAGAGGTGCTAAGCTGTAAGCGGCCGCACAGAATCTGGCAGAGCCCTCTTGGAACCTTCTCCCCAGCCAAGGGGACCAAGAAAAAAAAAAAACCCACAAAAACAACAAACCCCCAAAACAACCCAACAACCCCCAAACAAGATCCTAAATTTCAGCTGATGTCCATTTCATAAAAAAGGGGAAAAGAATTTAGTCGGAGACATTTTGCCACGTTTGGTGGCTGCTCAGGTGTTGCGTTTGCTGGATCGATAACCCATTGCCACAGCTCTCCCTTTGCTACTATATACACTGTTGCTGAGGTCCATATATATCTTGCAATGCCCTGTGCTTGACCTCTGAATGGGAAATGCTTTGGAATGTCCATAGACGGGAAGATGGGACTCAACGGAGGAGGTTTCCAGTGAAGGGGGAGGATGGGGGGAACAGGGAGTTGGTGCCTTTTTTCACCTCCGGATGTCAGAGAAGTCGGACAGTTCATCTGCCCGGTCCATGATCCCATGTGCCCCTTTGGGACCGTGGCCCCCAGCTTTCACCCGGGCATGGGCGTTCAAGTGGCCCTTAGTACCTCTCTCCCCCTTAGACGCTCGCGAGCTCTCCCTGTGGTCAGAGTCGGAGTGGGTCAGCATGTCCCCACGGCCAGCAGCAGCTTTGCTGGCTTCACCCGGCTTCTTCTCGGGACCCAGGATGGCGTCACCGTGCACAGCTGAGGTGCAGAAGCTCAGGATGGAGCAGAGACTTCCCCAGTTCTGTTCACACTGGGCCTGGACGCTTCTTGTTATTGCCTTTTTCACCTCCTCGCCACAAGTGAGCAGGATATTCACTAGGTCAACATATGGCCTAGAGGTAAAAGAAACAGAGAGGAGAGTCAAAAAATACATAAGGGTTATCTATCAGTAAACAAGTGTCACGGCCTCTCTGCCTTACCCTCCCTTGCGCACAGCAGTTCAGCAGCGTTAGCTCCCCTGCTATCCACTGACTTGGCAGCCTTGTAAAGCAATTCTGCACCATATCTTTTATTATGCAATACATTAAACTCTAATCGGCCATATCGCTTTAAGAAATGCACATGATGGCATCCTGTCAAACAAAGCTTCGCTCAAGTGCTGGATCTGCCTTGGTTGCTCCCCCACTGGAGATGCTATGGGAGACTGTAATGTCCACCAGAGGACTATGAGGTCTACATGCTCAGCACTTCTTGCATTTGATAGCCCCATCTGCCATCTCACACCTTCTGCCGCCATCTCTTTCCATACCCTTTCATCTTTATTAGTCAGGATACATGACAAAGGAAACCTGCTCATGTCCAGAGCCATCAACTTCATCACCAGCTTGCTATCTCCAGCTGAACGTCTGGTACAGAGCAGGCGCTGATCACTAGTCTGCAAGAGGGAGGCATTTCCTCACCTCTGCAAAGAGCAATAGATACTCAACTAGAGGTTCTCTGGCTTTTCTCATCATCTTTAGCTTTCCCTGAAGCACCCAGGTGTTGATCTCCACCACAAGCAAGATCCTGTCTGGACTCAGGATCCAACTGCACAGAGCTCAGACACACGGAAATCCACTTTGGTGGCACTGTTTCTTCCCACACCAAGTTTTTTTTTTTTTTTTATTAATTTCCTTATGGAGTTGAGTACAGCTTTTGATATATACCTTTTCCCAGCCAAACAAGGACTCCAAACGAGCCATGGCCAAATACCACTTCTCCTTCCCACCCATCCCTCTGTGCCCCACAGCACAGTGCAGCCCGAGCGCAGGCACTTCAGCTTCCTCAGCCACAGGTCACCAAGTGCAACGATTTTAAAATAGTTGTGGTCACAAGCTTTGTGGGTCAATATTGATGTTGTCTATTGACACAACCGCTCAGCTGCTAGCAGGCCCAGAAGGACGTGCTTAAAAGTCTTCCACGGGAGGAACCATCCACAGGGCAAGTGGCGAACTGCCTGGGGTCGGCAGCCGTGGTTGTATGGGGTGATGGGGGTGCACCTTCTGGGCACACCGTTGACCAGCTCTAGTGGCTGTGGGCAAGTCTAAATCTCTTCCCATGAACTAAGTCAGAAGAGAGGAGGAAAGCCAACAGATAATGGTTGGTGTCTGACACTACCCTGATTTTACTTTGCCCAACTGCTTAAACTCATTTTGAATGACTAATCTTGGAGAACCACCTATTCCCCTATCTCAAAATATTTCCCATGTTTGGATTGTTTCTACCATTTAAAAAAAAAAAAAAAAAAAATCAGTTACTTGGAATGCAGCAGCAACCGATCTGCCAGGGCCTGTCACCACTTCCACCATAGCAAATCGCCCTGACCCCCACCCCGCCGCAGCTGACTCAGGAGGAGACTTCACCGCCCCGACCGCGTTCCTCAACACTCATCGGGAGAAACCAGTCGGAATAAAATAGTCAAAGAACAAATCTGAGAGCTGCCGCTTGCTTCTCCACTCTTAGTTTTTGTTTTAAACTTAAAATAGAAGATGAGAGAGAACCACACGTCGCATACAAAGTGATCCAACAGAAGGAGGCAAAAAAAAAAAAAAAAAAGAGAGAGAAATCAGTCGTTGAAATTGGGCATAACCTTTACAAAAATCTTTGGAAGAGAGAGGTTGCTGGTATGACTAAAAAGTGGCTCAGCTGCCAAATATTTCAGGTATTCAGAGTCTGCCAGAGCCCTGCAGATTAATACTGGCCCATTTCTCCTTCACTGTTTTACTTTCTGCATTTCAGCTGGCCTGACCATAGTACCTGAACTGAGCACAAGGCTGCAAGTCAGCAGACATGATTTTATTTCCAGCTCTACCACACTTGCCTATTGATCTTGAACAAGTTCCTTAGTTCAAAAGCTTCAGAGATGGCCTCTAAATTTAGGGGAGGGGAGGAGGCTGGCTGGCTTCTATTTGGGGAGTCCCGCATAGGAAAGCTAAGCTCCGACTCAGTGAGATGCTGAAAATGAAGTGTAGGAAGCTCTAAATGAGATCATGCGAATTATAGGTCTTCAGCTGAATGATCTGTCTCTTCTCAAACCAAGAACCCCCCAGTAAAGCTCCCCAAGAACAAGCAGCTGCCTTTAGTATTCCTGCTTTAGCCTGCTTGTAAAAGAAGGACAACATACTTCTCTTTGGACAGGCCTTTGACTTCCATAGTTCTTCTCATCTCCAAGTGATGGGGGGGGCTAACTGGTACCACCTACCCAATCTATAGTCTACTAACAGAGCCTGAGCAGTGCCCAGAGAGGTGTTGCTGTGCAGGACGCAGCCCCGCTTCCCCTCTCCCCCAGGCAGTGGGAGGCTGCCCTTCGCCCTGGGCACAGCCAGCAGCCCTGGCAAGGACAAGATCTGCCACCAGCCATGCCTTTGATCCCAGCCTCAGGAATGTCCACAGAGAGGGCCTGGCTTTCAAGGCCACCATGTTCAGCTCGTACAAACCACAGCAAACGATTCTGCATTTGAGAGTAAACTGGCATCAAAGCTTAAGTATTAGGATGCTGGTTTTCAACAGAAAGCAAAGGAATCAGGGCACAGCTCCTTTGGAGACCACTGAAAATGCAAGGCTACAAGTCCAGAAGAAATGATTATGTAAAAAATAAATAAAATTATCTGTCATAATTGCTGGGATTTGGTGTTTCTGTGCTAATATCCACTAGGGGTAAGAAGGCATAGAGGCATGGTAGGAAGATGCTCTACGGTAAGCCTGCTGCCAGGCTGTGGCTCAGCCTTCCTTTTTGGGAGTGAGATGTTCACCTGCAAGAAAAACAGGCTCCGATTTTTGCATCTGTGCACAAAGAGTTGGTACAAACAGCTTGTGCCTGGTTTGTTGCTGTCATGTAGCAGCTTTGATCAATTCCAAATAGGCTTCATGCCTGCCATTCCTCAGAGGGCAGCTGCACTCCCAGTCAGAGGGATGAACTCCTCAAATTCTGACTTGTGCCTTCATTTTGTACACCTCCATGTTTTATTAAAAAGCATATGAGATTAATAAGGAATAAGATGAATGGGAGATTACCTGGGGGACTGCAGCTCTTTCAGGGACAATTAACTACAAGATATTTGAAAGTGTGTATTTAAAGAAGAAATTATCATTTTACTGACAACTTTGCATAGACCTTCTTCCCCGTTCTCCTCTAGCTGTCATCTTTAACAAGATACTGGGGTCTAGAATGGTGCCTTTGAGCTCAGAAAGCACAGAGACATTGTGAGATGCCTCTGGAAACAGCAGACGTGGCAGTGTATTTGCTAAAGGACCAAAGGGACAGCCAGATCCAACTTCAACCCATTTCATTCCCTTCCGCAGTCACATCTCGCTCTTTGTAAACAGAGTGGTCTTTGGAGGGCCCCTGTGAAGAAAGCATCACCTTGGTCTGGTACATGGGAAAACAAGACATGCTGAAGGCCAGGACGAGGTAAAACAGCTCTTGGGCAGATGCACAGCCCATCGGCACCATCATGCGCCTGGAAGGAGCTCCCACGCCCCTGACTGCACCAGCACGGAGGCACTTACTCATGCTGCAGCAGGTCTTTGAAGTGAATCATCTCCACAATGACCTGGACGTTCTCCTTGGCAGCAGAGCAGAGGTCATGCTTCAGGTAGCACTCCCGCTGTAACTGGAACACCATCTCTTTAATGGCAGGGCACTTACGGCTGATGCAGCTGAATTTATGCCTCAAGGCATGAGCCTTACACTTCAGAGCGTCTTTAATGAAGGATTTTCCCTGAGAAGAAAAGAAATGGAGTAGGTCTGTATTTTTGTCCATTAAGCACAGCAGCTGATTATTCCCATCTAGCTGCTCTGCTGCAGGACAATGGCAAGGGTTATTAGATTGCTAAGGGTACCACTTAATGGCTTCCCCCCCGCCATCCTTTTGTTTCTCTGCCCTTAAAGATCAAACCAAGTTACCTGGCCTTGCTATTCCAGGGAGCCGAACACACAGGGCTTCCTCACTGGTATTTTGAGGTTTCCTCTACCCCAACAGCTGAATGCCCAACAAGGGAAAGGGCAAAAGTAAGCACCTTGAAGTAATTCCATGCTTGAGTTACCGGCTTTGTTTGCTTCTGGGGCGTCAGCACAGTAGGCTCACATAAAGGAGAGGGCATCCTGCCATGGCTGAGGTCCCCAGGCCCACATGCAGATACCCATTCAGTAACTGCAAATTAGGGTATTTTTAATTTTAAAGTTAGTTTGCAAACTCATAGACATGTATGTACTGTCTTTATGCACCTGCCCCATTCCCCATCTGTCAGTATTTTCTCTACTACCACCTCCTCAGAGGAGGATCAAAGCAGCACTAATAATAATCCTACAGTGTCTCCACATCTGTTTGCAGCAAGAAATTCTAAGGGAGATTAAAAAACAATCAAATTAAGAAACTAAAGAAGTTGCAGGAAAGCTGCTTTAGCAGCATCTCTTTAACCACTGTTTGCTATTCCTTTACTCAGTTGCTTAGTGGGCATCAAAACCATCCCCTCCCGTTCTCTCTTTGCTACTGTAGCTGCCGTGCCTGGTGCATGTGTCGCAGTGACAGCTCTGCTCAGACTCCCTTTACTTTGCTGAGCAATAGGCGCATGGAAGCCTTCTGCGTTGCCTCCATCCCTTCATTAGCTTCAGATTATTTTACACAAGTGCTTAATGAAGACCAAATTCTTGTTAGCCTTTATCCAAAGAGTACACTAGCACAGCTCCACTGACATTAACTAAGATCATCCAGACCTGCAATCACATTTTGTCCCCAAATTGTTTCAAGCCAGCCATGTTTCTTGCTGATCAAAGAACTGCTTCAGTCATCATCCCCTTCTATTCCCTGTACCAGAGGCACTTACTTGCCCTTCCCTTCAGTAGCAAACACGCACAGCACGTTAGGCAAATAAGGATAAAAAAGAAAATTCTTATGCAAACCAAACCTGACATCAGTTCTCAGGTTTCAGAGAGAAGGAAGGAGAATAGAAAGCAGAAAACGGAATATGGTCAGTATTAGTCTCGTCATTTAATGCAGCCTGAAATAACTCTAGATAATACAGCGATGAGCCACAAAAAGCCATGTCATAACAGAGGCTAAAGTCACCTCTGTATTAAATAAAGCTCCAGGGGTTTAATACTTCTGCACTGCAATGAAGAGCGCCTGGATGTGAGATGGGCTGGTTTTGATTAGCAATATCTGGGGATCCCGGGGAACAGGCATCGATGGCTACACTCGGCCTTTGTAGGCACGTTTCCCTCCCAACAGGGCTTACTTTGGTCAACTTTGTTCACTGACAGAATATTGTGCAAAAATAAATTAGTGTTTTCTGGAAGCCACTTGGAAATTAAGTTGAAGGTTTTCAGATACCCACAAAAGAAACAATTCCCATTTTAATGGCTAGCCAGACCCTTTGTATGTCCTGGAGAATTTGAGCCTAAAACTCAAGCACTTCAAAGGTGTTTCCTACTGGGTGGTCCCACCATCCCTCATGGAACAGGTTAAATCCTGAAGACAGCTCTACTTTATACCATGCTTTTAACAGTGCCATGAGGTTGGTGCTTTTAGTCAAGTTGTACTGTAAACTGCATGGTCAAGCCAAATGCCGCTGGCCCGTCGTAATGTTCTCTTCCCTCCACACTGAAATGGGAGAGTAGGTTTACAAGACATAATAACAGGATGTCTCAGTGATGCATAAATGGTCTGGGGAGAAAATGAAGGAGACAAACTTAATACCACATACCATGTAAGTAATGTATTTTAACGTCAGTGCTTGATCCAAAGACTTATTTGAATACGGCAGCTTTAGGAGGTTGCCTGTACTGGTTGTGTGCAAGTCTTGAGAACCAACTCTAATAACTGCACATTGGGAAATATTTTGATACGTCTAAATGAACTGGGTGCCCAAGTTGCACTTCAGAATGAGCTTTGAACAAACATGGTATAGAAGCTTAAGCTGCTTAGCATTTCTGAAAGCCACGTTCAGCTACATTAGCGTTCCGCTTTAGTTATCCTGGGTCCAGGAGGAAGAAGCGATCACAGGGAGCTGCAGCTAGAGACAGCCCATCTCCTGGGACAGGCTGCACACTGCTGCTCCGTTACTGTTCTTGGGGCTTGACTCTGGGCCCTTCAACAGAAAAAATTCTTACTGAAGCTGGTCATGTGCAAAAGTAGATTTGCTCCGTAACAGTAACTTTTTTCCAAAGATGTGTTAAAGGACTAAAGTACATGCCACGTGTATATTGGAAGCAAGCAGATACATAGGATGTTTGAGTGTGTTACCTGGGCATCAAATTTTCCAGCGTTGTGCAGGAATGTCATGCAGATCTCATGTAAGCCTCGGATCTCGCAAGAATTGTTTTCAAAGCATTCAAACACTCCGCATCCGACATCGCCAGCATTAACCAGGCAGTGCTGGATTTCAGCTAAAATGAGCATTGATTACAGTTAATTTGAAGAACTGTTCATAGAAGCTGGTGGTGGGCCGGGTGGGGAGGG